TTTACATAGTCTCAAATTATCTCCCCACAAAATATTAATACTAATTAATTACAAGGTGAAAAAGTAACATTACAGAGGAGAAAGCTAGCAGACACTACTGTTAGTAATCAATGCCAACATCACCAGTAAGAGGGCAAATCAAAATTGTAGGTCACTCAAGTTCTACAGGGTTAACAGAGCTCTAATTTCTCCCTGGGATGCAGTGCCTGAGGGGTGGGGTAGGCTGCCACCTAGGCCTTTCAGGCTTCTCAGCCAGTTCAGCCTGTGGGCCTTTGGTAGCTCAAACTGAACAGGAGCTGAAGAGATACCCAACACAGCACAGCTTGTCTACCAAAAAGTAGCCAGAATCATTCTTTAAGTAGGTTCCTTATCCCATTCCTCCTGACTGGGTGAGACCTCCCAACTAGGGTCTCCAGCCACCTCCTACAGGCACGTTCGAGCCAGCAATAGGTCAGTACTCTGCTGGCCTAGAGCTTCCAGAGGAAGGGGCAGGCAGCCATCTTTGCTGTTTCACAGACTTCACTGGTGATACTTCCAGCTATGGGAAAAACCGAGGGAACTAGGGTATAGAATGAACCCCCAGCAAACTGCAGCAGCCCTGCAGAAGAGTGGCCAGACTGTTAAAAGAAAAACAAACAGGAAACAACAACAGTAACAATTTAAAAAGTTACAAAACTCCATCCTCAAGGTCAAAGGTTAAGACAGACCCACAGAGATGAGAAATTACCCCAAAACCATGAAGACTCAAAACACCAGAGTACCTCTGCAACACCTCTCCAGCAAGAGATCAGAACTGGGTTGAGCCTGAGATGGTTGAAATGACAGAAGTAGACTTCAGAATGTGAATAACAATGAACTTCAATGACCTAAATGAGCATCTTGTAACCCAATGCAAAGAAGCTAAGAATCATGATAAAACAATACAGGAGTGGACAGCCAAAAGAGCCAGTCTAGAGAAAAACATAACTTACCCGTTAAAGCTGAAAAACACACTACAAGAACTTGACAATGAAATCAACTTATATTGTTATATATAACTGTGATATTGTATATATTGCAGAATAGGCGAAGCAAAGAAAAGAATCTCGGAGCTTGAAGATGATCTTTCTGAAATAAGACAGGCAGACAAGAATAGACATAAAAGAATGAAAAGGAATGAATGAAACCACCAAAAAATATGGGATGACATAAAGAGACCAAATCTATGATGGATTGGAGTACCCAAAAGAGACAGGGAGAATGGAACCAAGTTGGAAAACATACTTCAGCATATCATCCAAAAGAACTAACTTCCCCAGCCTAGCAAGACAGGCCAACATTCAAATTCAAGAAATCCAGAGAACCCCAGTAAGATACTCCACAAGGAGATCATCCCTGAGACATATAATCATCAGATTCTCCAAAGTCTAAATGAAAGAAAAAAATGTTAAGGGCAGTCAGACAGAAAGGCCAGGTCACCTACAAAGGGAACCCCATCAGATGAACAGCAGACCACTCAGTGGAAACCTTGCAAGTCAGAAGATACTGGGAACCAATATTCAACATTCTTAAAGAAAAGAATTTCCAACCCAGAATTTCACATCTAACCAAACTAAGCTTCATAAACCAAGGATAAATAAGATCCTTTTCAGACAAGCAAATGCTGAGGGAATTCATTACTACCAGACCTGTCTTGCAAGAGCTCCTGCAGGAAGCAGCAAATATGAAAAGGAAAAACCATTACCAGGCACCAGAAAAACACACTAAAGTACAAAGAACAGTGACACTATGAAGCAACCACATAAACAAGTCTGCAAAATAACCAGCTAACATCATGATGACGAGATCAAATCCACATATAATACTATTAACCTTAAATGTAAATGGGTTAAAGGCTCCAATGGAAAGAAACAGAATGGCAAACTAGATAAAGAACCAAGACCCATCAGTATGCTGTATTCAAGAGACCCATCTCACACACAAAAAAATAATGGGATGAAGGAAAATTTACCAAGCAAACAGAAAGCAGGAAAAAAACAACAGAGCTTGCAATCCTAGTTTCTAACAAAACAGACTTTAAACTAACAAAGATCAAAAAAGACAAAGAAGAGAATTACCTACTAGTAAATGGTTCAATTCAACCAAAAGAGATAACTATCCTAAATATATATGCACCCAATACAAGAGCACTCAGGTTCATAAAAGTAAGTTATTGGAGACCTTTGAAGAGACTTAGACTCCCACATAATAATAGTGGGAGACTTTAACACCACAATGAAAATATTAGACACATCATGGAGACAGAAAATTAACAAAGATATTCAGGACCTGAACTTGGTTGTGGATCAAGTGGACATGACAGATATCTACACAACTCTCCAACAGAAAACAAGAGAATATACATTCTTCTCATAGCCACACGACACTTACTCTAAAACTAATCATAAATTCGGAAGAAAAACACTCCTCAGCAAATGGAAAATAACTGAAATCATAACAAAGAGTCTCCCAGACCACAGCACAATCAAATTAGAACTCAAGATTAAGAAATTCACTCAAAACACAACTATATGGAAACTGAACAACCTGCTCCTGAATGACTTTGGGGTAAATAATACAATTACGGCAGAAATCAAGAAGTGCTTAAAAACTAATTAGAACCAAGAGACAACATACCAGAATCTCCAGGACTCAGCTAAAACAGTGTGAAGAGGAAAATGTATAGCACCAAGTACCCACATCAAATAGATAGAAAGATCTCAAGTTAACAACCTAATATCACAACTAAAAGGACTAGAGAACTGAGAGCAAAGAAACTTCCAAGCTAGCAGAAGACGAGAAACAACCAACATCAGAGCTGAACTGAAATAAAGACACAAAAAACTTTAAAAAAATCAATAAATCCAGGAGGTTTTCTTTTTAAATTTACTTTTTATTTCAATAGGTTTTTAAGGAACAGGTGGTATTTGGTTCCATAAATAAGTTCTTTAGTGGTGATTTTTGAGATTTTGCTGCACCCATCACCCGAGCAGTGTACACTGTACCCCGTGTGTAGTCTTTTATTTCTCATCCCCTTCCCACACTTTCCCCCAAGTCCCCAAAGTCCATTGTATCATTCTTATGCCTTTACATTCTCATAGGTTAGTTCCCATATATAAGAGAGAACATACAATGTTTGGTTTTTCATTCCTGAGTTACTTCACTTAGAAGAATGGTCTCCAATTCCATCCAGGTTGCTGCAATTAGAAGAAGGGGCTCCAATTCCATCCAGGTTGCTGCAATTAGAAGAAGGGGCTCCAATTCCGTCCAGGTTGCTGCAATTAGAAGAAGGGGCTCCAATTCCGTCCAGGTTGCTGCAGTTAGAAGAAGGGGCTCCAATTCCATCCAGGTTGCTCCTTTTTACGGCTGAGTAGTATTCCATGGGGGTGTGTGTGTACATATCACATTTTCTTTATCCACTCACTGATTGATGGGCATTTGGGGAGGTTCCATATTTTCACAATTATGAATTTTGCTGCTATAAACATGCATGTGCAAGTATCTTTTTTCTATAATGACTTCTTTTCCTCTGGGCAGATACTGACGAATGGGGTTGCTGGATCAAATGGTAGATCTACTTTTAGTTCTTTAAGCAATCTCCACACAGTTTTCCATAGTGGTTGTACTAGCTTACATTAGCATCAACACTATAAAAGTGTCCCCTTTTTACCACATCCATGCCAACATATATTATTTTTTTTATTTTTTTAATATGGCCATTCTTACAGGAATGAGGTGGTATCGCATTGTGGTTTTGATTTGCATTTCCCTGATCAATAGTGATGTTGAGCATTCTTCCATATGCTTGTTGGCCATTTGTATATTTTCTTTTGAGAATTGTCTATTCGTGTCCTTAGCCCACTTTTTTATGGAATTTTTTTTTCTTACTGATTTGAGTTCTTTGTAGATTCTGAATATTAGTTCTTTGTTGGATGTGTAGGTTGTGAAGATTTTCTCCCACTCTGTGGGTTGTCTGTTAACTCTGCTAATTATTTCTTTTGCTGTGCAAAAGCTTTTTAGTTAAGTCCCATCTATTTATCCTTTGTTTTTGTTGCATTTGCTTTGAGGTTCTTGGTCATGAAGTCTTTGCCTAAGCCAATGTCTAGAAGGGTTTTCCAACATTATCTTCTAGAATTTTTAAGGCTTCAGGTCTTAGATTTAAGTCCTTGATCCATCTTGAGTTGATTTTTGTATTAGGTGAGAGATGACGATCCAGTTTCATTCTCCTAAATGTGGCTAGCCAATTATCCCAGTACCATTTGTTGAATAGGGTGTCCTTTCTTCACTTTACGTTCTTGTTTGCTTTGTTGAAGATCAGTTGGCTGTAAGTATTTGGCTTTAATTCTGGGTTCTCATTTCTGTATTATTCATATTCACATCTCTAGCATCCAGCATAATTCTTTACAAATAGTGTGTGCTCAGTAGGTAATCAGTATTTCCCACATCCTCACCAACACTTAGTGTTGTCAGCATTTGTCAGTCTGACAAATAATATATCATAGATCAGTTTTTTACTGTATATTTAAAAATTATTGAGTGAGCAACTTTTTTTTTTTTTTTTTGAGATGGAGTCTCGCTCTATTGCCCAGGCTGGAGTGCAGTGGCCGGATCTTGGCTCACTGCAAGCTCCGCCTCCTGGGTTCATGCCATTCTCCTGCCTCAGCCTCCTGAGTAGCTGGGACTACAGGTGCCCGCCACCACGCCCGGTAGTTTTTTGTATTTTTTAGTAGAGACGGGGTTTCACCGTGTTAGCCAGGATGGTCTCGATCTCTTGACCTCGTGATCCGCCCGCCTTGGCCTCCCAAAGTGCTGGGATTACAGGTGTGAGCCACCACACCCGGCCTCCCATTTCATTTTTAATCAAGCTTATTTGGATCTTCTCTCTTCTTTTCTTGGTTAATCTTGCTAATACTTATCCATTTTATTTATCTTTTCAAAGAAACAGCTCTTTGTTTCATTTATCTGTTGTTTTTTTGTTGCAATTTCATTTAGTTCTGTTCTGGTATTTGTTATTTCTTTTCTTCTGCTGGGTTTGGATTTGGATTGTTCTAGTTTCTCCAGTTCTGTGAGGTGTGACCTCAGATTATTTATTTGTGCTCTTCCAGACTTTCTGATGTAGGCATTTAATGCTATGAATTTTCCTCTTAGCTCCACTTTTGCTGTATCCCAGAGTTTTTGATAGGTTGTGTCACTATTATCATTCAGTTCAAAGAATTTTTGAATTTCCCTCTTGATTTCATTGTTGACCCAACAATCATTCAGGAGCAGGTTATTTAATTACCATGTATATGCATGCTTTTGAGTGTTCTTTTTGGAGTTAATTTCCAATTTTATTCCACTGTGATCTGAGAGAGTACTTGACATAATTTTGATTTTCTTAAATTTACTGAGACTTATTTTGTGCCCTATCATGTGGTCTATTTTGGAGAATGTTCCATGTTCTGATGAATACAATGTATATTCTATGCTTGTTGGGTAGAATGTTCTGTAAATATCTGTTAAGTCCATTTGTTCTAGGGTATAGTTTAAGTCCGTTGTTTCTTTGTTGACTTTCTGTCTTGGTGACCTGTCTAGTGCTGCCAGAGGAGTATTAACATCCCCCACCATTGTTGTGTTGCTGACTACCTCATTTCTTAGGTCTAGTAGTAATTGTTTTATGAATTTGGGATCTCTAGTGTTAGGTGCATATATATTTAGGACTGTGATATTTTCCTGTTGAACTAGTCCTTTTATCATTATATAATGTCCCTCTTTGTCTTTTTAAACTGCTGTGGCCTTTAGGTCTGTTTTGTCTGATCTAAGAATAGCTACTTCTACTCAGCTTTGGTGTCCATTTGGATGAAGTGTCATTTTCCATCCCTTTGCCTTAAGTTTATGTGAGTTCTTATGTGTTAGGGGAATCTCCTGAAGACAGCAGCAACTTGGTTGGTGAATGCTTACCCATTATGCCATTCTGTATCTTTTAAGTAGAGCATTTAGGCCATTTATGTTCAACATAAGCATTGAGATGTGAGGTACTATTCTATTCATCATGTTATTTGTTGCCTGAATACCTGAAAACCTGAAAGCGTTCCCTTGGAAAACTGACAGAAGACAAAGATGCCCTCTCTCACCACTCCTATTCAATGTAGTATTAGAAATTCTCACCAGGGCAATCAGGCAAGAGAAAGAAAGAAAAGTTATTCAAATAGGAAGACAGGAAGTCAAACTATCTTTGTTTGCAGATGACATGATCATATATCTAGAAAACTCCATCATCTCAGCTCAAAAACTCTTAAGCTGATAAGCAACTTCATCAAAGTCTCAGGATACAAAAGCAACGTACAAAAATCACTAGCATTCCTATACACCAAAAACAGGCAAGCTGAGAACAAAATCTTGAATTAACTCCCATTCACAATTGCTACAAGAAGAGTAAAATACCTAGGAATACAGTTAAAAGAAAAGTGAACGACCTTTTCAAGGATAACTACAAACCATTATTCAAAGAAATCAGAGAAGACACAAAGAAGTGGAAAAACGTATATGCTCACAGACAGAAAGGATCAATATCGTGAAAATGACCACACTGCCCAAGGCAATTTGTAAATTAAATGCCAGGCCCATTAAACTACTATTGACACTCTTCACAGACCTAGAAAAAGCTATTTTAAAACTCATATGGAACCAAAAAAAAGAGACCAAATAGCCAAGACAATCCTAAGCAAGAAGAACAAAGCTAGAGGCATCACACTACCCAGCTTCAAGCTATACTGCAAGACTACAGTAACTAAAACAGCATGGTGCTGGTATAAAACCAACACATAGACCAATGGAACAATACAGAACCCAGAAATAAGACGACACACCTACAACCATGTGATCTTTTACTCTTTGACAAACTTGACAAAAGCAAGCAATAAATGGTGCTGGGAGAACTGGCTAGCCATATGCAGAAAATTGAAACTGGACCCCTTCCTTAAACCATATACAAAAGTTAACTCAAGATGGATTAAAGACTTAAATCTACAACCCCAAACTATAAAAATCCTGGAAGAAAACCTAGGCAATGCCATTCAGGACACAGGCAAGGGCAAAGACTTCATGATGAAGATGCCAAAAGCAATTGCAACAAAAGCTAAAATTGACAAATGGGATTTAATTAAACTAAACAGCTTCTGCACAGCATAAGAACCTATCAACAGAGTAAACAGACAACCTACAGAATGGGAGAAAATTTTTGCACTCTATCCATCTGACAAAGGTCTAATATCCAGCATCTACAAGGAACTTAAACAAATTTACAAGAAAAAAAATACAAACTCAACCCCATTAGAAAGTGGTCAAAGGACACAAACAGACACTTCTCAAAAGAAGGCATACATGCAACCAACAAACAGAAAAACCTCAACATAACTGATCATCAGAGAAATGCAAATCAAAACCACATGAGACACCATCTCACAACAGTCAGAATGACTATAATTCAAAAAAATAAAAAGATGCTGGCAAGATTATGGAGAAACAAGAATGCTTTTACACTGTTGGTGGAAGTGTAAATTAGTTCAACCAGTGTGGAAGACGGTATGGTGATTCCTCAAAGACCTAGAACCTGAAATACCATTTAACCTAGCAATCCCATTACTTAGTATATACCCAAAGGAATATAAATAATTCTAGGATAAAGATACATGCACACGTATGTTCATTGCAGCACTATTCACAATAGCAAAGACAAGGAATCAACGTAAATGCCCATCAATGATAGACTAGATAAAGAAAATGCAGTACATATACACCATGGAATACTATGCAGCCATGAAAAGGAATGAGACATGTCCTTTGCCAGGACATGGATGGAGCTGCAGAACATTATCCTCAGTAAATCAGCGCAGAAATAGAAAATGAAATACTGCATGCTCTCACTTATAAGTGGGAGCTGAATAATGAGAACACATGGACACATGGCGGGGAACAACACACACAGGGGCTTGTGGTAGGGTGGCGGGTGAGAGAAGGGAGAGCATCATGAAGAATAGCTAATGGATGCTGGACTATTATTAATATCTAGGTGATGGGATGGTCTGTACAGCAAACCACCATGGCACATATTTACCTATGTAACAAACCTGCACATCCTGCATGTGCACCCCTGAACTTAAAATAAAAGATGGAAATAAAAAATAATAGTAATTGCAGGTCACCTGATAGAATGCAGTAAGAAGATCATGGGATAACTTCTGTGATACTCTTGCCCAAAAAAATTATCATCTAAATCTTATCATAAAAAAATTCAGAGAAATCCAATGGAGGAACATTCTGTATTATTGGACTTTATTCTTCAAAAGATTTAAGGTCATAAAGGTCAAAGAAAAACTGAGGAACTGTTTCAGACTGAAAGAGTCATGACAACTAAATGCAATTCATGGACCTGAATGGGATCTTTTTGCGGCAAAGAACATTATAGATAATTAACAAAACTTGAAAAGGAAATGAGAATTAAATGATCAAATGTATTGATGTTAACTTTCTGGTTATGAAGTAGTTATGTAAAATGTCCTGACTTGTGGGAATGCCCACTAAAGATATCAGATGTGATGGCATAATGTGAGCAATTTACTCTCAAATGGCCCACAGGGGGAAAGTTATTTTTCTTAAAATGTGGAAATTTTCTGCAATTTTAAGACTGTTTCCCAAAAGTTAATCAAATAAAGAAATGAAACAATAAATAGAAAAAATGAAAAGGCTTAGGCAAACCTTATTTTTCCACAGGAAAAGATCTATATAAATCAGTGCTTAAAATTAAAATTATCTAAGTTTTATTGCACTATAACAATTGCAATACATCCAAACATTGACTATGACCACAGTACCAGTATACCAAAATAATGTCTATCTTAAACTTAAATCTATCACTATATATAAAGATAAAAATTATAAAATACAAATAAGCCATCAGTTGACTCCACTAAATTGTTAATGGCAACTTGATTATTTGGCTGTTTAAAACAGCTAACATTTGGGTGGTTTGAGTAAGTAAAACTCAATAATAGTGGTTTTCATTTGCAAAATCACTTAAAAGTTAGCTGAAGAGGCCAAGAAACATTATTTAAAATACTATATAAATTTTCATCAGACATGTACAATACAGAATATTTCCCTTTAGTAAAAATGTTCACATCATATACTTAATGGGAAACAAAATATCATGTCAACAGCCCAGAAATAAAATTGCCTTATCTTTCAGATCATGTATTTTCTGCTTAAAATCTGTACATATTCTTTTGTTGCTTCCAACACTGGATCTTGATTCAGATTTTTCTGGTATGCAGATTCTGGAGGAGAAGCTACATATGGTTCAGGTTCACATTTAGTAGCAGCTGAAAAGAAAAAGCAAGAATTGTATTATCATTATTATTATTATTATTTTAAGATAGGGTCTCACTGTTTCACCTGTGCTGGAGTGCCGTGGTGTGATCACAGGTCACTGCAGTCTCGTCCTCCCAGGCTTAAGCAATTCTCCTGCCTTGGACCCAGGTACTTGGAACTGCAGGCATGAGCCACTGTGCCTGGCAAGTTTTTGTATTTTTTATAGGGGCAGGGTTAGTCATGGTGCCCAGGCTACTCTCAAACTCCTGGGCTCCAGTGATCTGCCTGCCTCAGGCTCCCAAAGTGCTGGGATTACAGATGTGAGCCAACATGCCTGGCCAAAGAATTATATTCTATATATCTCATAGTTAACTAAGCGTAAGTCAGTAAAAAAGAGTTGAGAGTTTTTTCAGTGTTAATAAGAATGAAAAGTATGTATGACTACAATGATAAGTTATTATTAGATAAGAATCTGGGGAGGTTCCAAGATGGCCAAATAGGAACAGCTCCAGTCTACAGCTCCCAATGTGAGCAATGAAGAACACGGGTGACTTCTGCATTTCCAACTGAGGTACTGGGTTCATCTCACTGGGGCTCACCGGGGCTTGTCAGACAGTGTGCAGCCCATGGAGCGTGAGCCAAAGCAGGGCAGGGCATTGCCTTACTCAGGAAGTACAAGGGGTTGGGGAATTCCCTTTCCTAGCCAAGGGAAGCTGTGACAGGCGGTACCTGGAAAAATGGGACACTTCCACCCTAATACTGTGCTTTTCCAACGGTCTTAGCAAATGGCACACCAGGAGATTATATCCTGCGCCTGGCTAGGAGGGTCCCATGCCCACGAAGCCCAGCTCACTGCTAGCACAGCAGTCCGAGATCCATCTGCAAGGCAGCAGTGAGACTGGGGGAGGGGCATCCACCATTAATGAGGCTGCAGTCAGTAAAGTGGCGGGAAGCTCAAACTGGGTGGAGCCCACTTCAGCTCAGGGAGGCCTGCCTGCCTCTGTAGACTCCACCTCAGGGGGCAGGGCATAGCTGAACAAAAGGCTGGAGAAACTTCTGCAGACTTACACATCCCTGTCTGACAGCTTTGAATAGAGTAGTGGTTCTCTCAGCATGGAGTTTGAGATCTGAGAACAGATAGACTGCCTCCTCAGGTGGGTCCCTGACCCTGGAGTGGACTAACTGGGAGACACCTCCCAGCAGGGACTGACTGACACCTCATACAGGCCGCTGCCCCTCTGATATGAAGCTTCCAGAGGAAGGATCAGGTAGCAACATTAGCTGTTTTGCAATATTTGCTCTTCTGCAGCCTCTGCTGGTGATACCCAGGCAAACAGGGTCTGGAGTGGACCTCCAGCAAGCTCCAACAGATCTGCAGCTGAGGGTCCAGACTGTTAGAAGGAAAACTAATAAACAGAAAGGACATCCATACCTAAACCCCATCTGTACGTCACCATCATCAAAGACTAAAGGTAGATAAAACCACAAAGATGGGGAGAAACCAGAGCAGAAAAGCTGAAAATTCTAAAAATCAGAGTGCCTCTTCTCCTCCAAAGGAACGCAGCTTCTCACCCGCAATGGAACAAATCTGGACGGAGAATTACTTTGACGAGTTGAGAGAAGAAGGCTTCAGATGATAGGTAATAACATGCCAAATTGTAAAGACCATCAATGCTAGGAAGAAACCGCCTCAACTGACGAGTAAAATAACCAGCTAACATCACAATGATAGGATGAAATTCATACATAACAATATTAACCTTAAATGTAAATGGACTAAATGCTCCAATTAGAAGACACAGACTGGAAAATTGGATAAAGAGTCAAGACGCATCAGTGTACTGTATTCAGGAGACCCATCTCACGTGCAGAGACACACACAGGCTCAAATAACGGGATGGAGGAAGATCTACCAAGCAAATGGAAAACAAAAAGGCAGGGGTTGCAATCCTAGTCTATGATAAAACAGACTTTAAACTAACAAAGATTAAAAGAGACAAAGAAGGCCATTACATAATAGTAAAGGGATCAATTCAACAAGAAGAGCTAACTATCCTAAATATATATGCACCCAACACAGGAGCACCCAGATACATAAAGCAAGTCCTTAGAGACCAACAAAGAAACTTAGACTCCCACACAATAATAATGGGAGACTTTAACACCCCACTGTCAACATTAGACAGATCAACAAGACAGAAAGTTAACAAGAATATCCAGGAATTGAACTCAGGTCTCACCAAGCAGACCTAATAGACATCTACAGAACTCTCCACTCCAAATCAACAGAATATACATTCTTTTCAGCACCACATCACACTTATTCCAAAATTGACCACATAGTTGGAAGTAAAGCACTCCTCTGCAAATGTCAAAGAACAGAAATCACAACAAACTGTCTCGAAGACCACAGTGCAATCAAATTAGAACTCAGGATTAAGAAACTCACTCAAAACCGCACAACTACATGGAAACTGAATAACCTGCTCCTGAACGACTACTGGGTAAATAGCAAAATGAAGGCAGAAATAAAGATGTTCTTTGAAACCAATGAGAACCAAGACACAATATACCAGAATCTCTGGGACACATTTAAAGCAGTGTGTAGAGGGAAACTTATAGCACTAAATGCCCACAAGAGAAAGCAGGAAAGATCTAAAATCGACACCCTAACATCACGATTAAAAGAACTAGAGAAGCAAAAGCAAACACATTCAAAACTAGCAGAAGGCAAGAAACAACTAAGATCAGAGCAGGACTGAAGGAGATAGAGACACACACACAAAAAAACCCTTCAAAAAAATCAATGAACCCAGGAGTTGGTTTTTTGAAAAGATCAACAAAATTGATAGACCGTTAGCAAGACTAATAAAGAAGAAAAGACAGAAGAATCAAACAGATGCAATAAAAAATGAAAAAGGGGATATCACCACCGATCCCCCCACTGTGGAGTTCTGTGCAGTCCAGTTTGGCTGGATGCTAGAGCAAAGCGGCAGAGTACAGTTAGTGGTGAGAGATAAACCTGAGTAACATGACAAGAACCAAATGAATGTGGGTGTTTATATTCCATGTTAAGAATTTTGGAACATTTCCTGAGGGCAAAAGTAAACCAATGACACTGTAAATGACTGGAGACTTAAAGTGTTACCTCTCAAGTGACTGTTTATAAACTGTAACTGCTTGACTAGGTTACTAGATGAGACTGGAGTGTTTTGGCCTTAAAAATCACTACCATAACCCTGAGAAGCTGATGATGCCTTTGTTTTCTGAGAATAGTTTCTGTGTGCTGGCTGACAGTTCCATAGGGATGGTAGAAGTGAAGTATAGAGCCAGACTTCTTGATTTTTCTTTTTCAAGTTATGGAATGTGATGAATTCATGAGGCATAAGTATGCTCTTCATTATACATGTTCAATTTTTCACATCTTTCATCAGATGTGTGTAAGAAAGAATATTTAATGTAGTATCTATTAGCCCAAGAATGGAAAGGGATGTCATTTGCAGTTTATTTTAGACATATATTACTTAATCCAAATTTAATTCATAAATTTTGGTAACATACCTGTTACTTCTGTAGTTATATCATTTTGCAACTTCTGCTGCATCTGAAATAAGACAAATATTATTTATAATGTTTAAGAAGAGACATTATCATGGTAAGGAGCATCAATTACAAAACATGGCCTTTAAATAATACTTTTAGAGACCAGACCTAACTTGGAGAATGCTTATATTTAAGAAAATCACATAAACTCCTATTTTAAGTTTAGATAATGGAGAACATATATGTGTTACGCTGTTTAATCTCACAAAAGTACAATTAATATTGGTCTGTTGGATCTACATCATTTCAAAAGTGTGATGTTTTCCCTTATTAGTACAGAGGTTAAACAATTCAAGTCATATTTTGCAATGAATTCATTAGTTTCCCATTCTTATCAAAACTCTGCCTTTAATCAAGGTCTAATCAGTTTTTCACTCTAATGAATAGTTCCTTAAAATGAACTCTCCATTATCCACTTTTAGAAAATAGTAATTTTAAAGTATGTTCTTTGCTATTAATTCAGCACAGAATCTTTAATACATACTTGAAGAAAGCAGTATTGTTGTGATGCCATGTGAAAGTTCCACTGGAAAAATATTATGATATTTATTATGATTAACATTTCTTTATTTATATAGATGCAAAGATTTCAGAAAATTTACATGAAAACAAGAATATAGGTTAGAGCCAGTTTTCAATCTTAGTTTCTTTGATTCAGTAATGTCTAGAATTAAAAACTAGGAAAACAATATAGAGTTATTTAACTGCAACTTTGATTTCTTTTCAGAAATTAGTACCCATTTTTTGAAGCATCTGGCAAGTTATAGTTATCTACTTAATTGTGAAAGATGTGGGAATATTTCAAACTTATTGCCAGTGTCTCTATCTAGAGTGCTCTTATTTAAACCTTTTGTAGAATAGGTATTCTCTCACTAAATGCCCAGAACAGGGTCTGAGATAGTTTATGGTGATAACGATAATGATATCTAATACCTTTACAAATTTTAGGTGTCAAGTCAGTTTTTCTTTTTTTTTACTAACAGGTTTACCAATATTTTGAGACTCCTTTCCATAACATTTCTGTGACAAAAACATTATAGATAGGCTTTATAGAGTAAGTAACATGACAACAGCATTACCAGCCAGGCCATATAAAAGTAGTAATTCAACACCAGATAAAGGAGAAAGCCTTTCTTCAAAGAACACTAGATATTGTCATTCATAAACACTACATAAAAAGTACATTTTTACATGATTCAAATTAAGACACTACTACTGTAATGTTTTTATCTTTTCTCCAAAACACTCTTCTGGCTAAATATTTCTAATGTAATAGATTTTATTATTTCTTTATACCCCATTCTCAAATATTTTCATAACACCTCAATTTTGTTAACATAAAAATGAAATAATCCTAACAAATTGCTTACTTTTATACTTGTTGGGAACAAGTCCCCCAAAATCTGGCCATAAACTGGCCCCAAAACTGGCCATAAACAAAATCTCTGCAGCACTGTGACATGTTCATGATGGCCATGTGACATGTTCATGATGGCCATAACGCCCTCGCTGGAAGGTTGTGGGTTTACTGGAGTGAGGACAAAGAACACCTGGCCCGCCCAGGGCGGAAAACCGCTTAAAGGCATTCTTAAGCTACAAACAGTAGCATGAGCAATCTGTGCCTTAAGGACACGCTCCTGCTGCAGTTAACTAGCCCAACTTATTCCTTTAATTCGGCTCATCCCTTCATTTCCCATAAGGGATACTTTTAGTTAATTTAATATCTATAGAAACAATGCTAATGACTGGTTTGCTGTTAATAAATACATGGGTAAATCTCTGCTCACGGCTCTCAGCTCTGAATGCTGTGAGACCCCTGATTTTCCACTTCACACCTCTATATTTCTGTGTGTGTGTCTTTAATTCCTCTAGCGCCACTGGGTTAGGGTCTCCCCGACCGAGCTGGTCTCGGCAATACTGAAGAAATCATAACTCCGTAGAGAGAGAATACTTTTTGTATAACAACTTTAAGTAAAGGTCATTTTCTCTCCAAACTCTTCAATAAGAGTACATGGTAGAAGTCACTGCCTATCTTCCAACCCAGAGTGGCCTCCCCCTACATCAATTCTCTTCCAGCCTTTCCCTGATCCTTGAATATTTCACCACATAAATGACAGTGGAGGGCAGCTGCCTTTGGGAAAGAGATCCCAGGTCAGATGCAAAAGCAGAGGGAAAAAGGACAGACCCAGAACACAGGGAGGGAGTGCCTCTGGGATGGGAACCCAAAAGCTTAGGAAAGGGGTTTTGAGTGTTGATGGTTCCAATTTTTTCCTGGCCAGTTAAAGGCCGGGGTGGCTTTACCTATTTTCAGAAGTAAAAACAGGCAAATATTAAGCGACTTTTAAAAAGTCCTTTCATTTTATTTTTGCTTTGCCATTAAATCACACATTTTCCTCATATTTCCCTTCACAGAAATTCAGAATTGTTGTCCCCCATTGAACCACTTAATACAGTGCCTGGCACAGCTAACAGAAGGGAAAAGGAGAGAAAAGTGTCTTGATGACATTAATCACTGTCTTATTCAGTGAGACAAGGGGGCCGGGCCATCGATGGTTTTTGTAGTGTGCAGAGCAATAGCTCAGAAGAAACTGAACATCACCAGAGGATATAAAAGAGCTTAGTAAACTGTTAATCTTCACTTTATACAACATACTAAATCAAAAGCTATACTAGCTCCTTATGGAGTAAAATACATAAACTTTTTAATAAAATTGCTCCTCCTGTCTCTGTGGCCTTTCTCTTTATCTCCAGGTGGGGATTATGTCTCAGACGGTGGAGGAAGTCCAACATCAACAATCTGCAAGCACATCTGCAAATATATTTATACTTTTTCATTAAAAATATAAGTAGGTGGGAAAATGATACATGGGAGAACATAAGTACCAGCATACTTTAGCTAATTAGTAGGATTCTCTTAGAAATGACCCTTTTCAAGCTATGTCCCCTAGAAATCTAAGGTTCCACAGAGGACGCTGAAGGATGAAGGGATAAGAAAGTCACGGTTTCAGAGCACTGATCCTTCCTTTAGTCAGACAGCACTGCTTCTGCTTTCTATAAAGTGGTTTCATGCAATTTAAAAAAGTTCTATTCTTTAAAAAAAAAAAAAAAAAAAGACTTTTACTTAAAGGTATGAATGTCACTGATTTAGTCAAAGTCCCTAATTTTATAAAAGAAACAAAACAGGCTCAGAGAGACTGCAGCTTGCCTGAGGTCAGAAAGCCAATTAGTTGCAAGCTAGGAGTAGGTGGCTTCAGATCTTTCACTGAGCTTGGAGTTATTCTATGCCCCTAGCTGCTTCGTTCATATTTGGAAAAGAAACACAGATTTTAAAAAATAACTCAGAGAGGCCAGGTGTGGTGGCTCACGCCTGTAATCCCAGCACTTTGGAAGGCCGAAGTGGGTGGATCACAAGGTTAGGAGTTCGAGACCAGCCTGGCCAATATGGTGAAACCCTGTCTCTACTAAAATTACAAAAATTAGTCAGGTGTGGTGGTGCACACCTGTAGTCCCAGCTACTCAGGAGGCTGAGGCAGGAGAAGCGCTGGAACCCAGGAGGCAGAAGTTGCAGTGAGCAGAGATTGCGCCACTGCACTCCAGCCTGGGTGACAGAGTGAGACTCTGTCTTAAAAAACAACAACAACAACAAAAACTCAGAGAAAATGCATCTATAAACTGTCACGATGCGCTCTAATGTTTAAGCATGAGACAAAAAAAGTAGCTCTCCAAGGTAAGTTTGAATAAAATTTAAACAACAATTAGTATCATAACTTCTGCTAGTACCAATTGAAACACTCAATTTATAAAGAACACATTTTTCAAACTGCAGAGCAGAAAACTTGAAGGAGAAAATCTTCAGTTGAACCAAGCAACTAGAAATCGAGAAAACTGTTCCTTAAAATAACTATTCATTCTCCTCCAAATAAGACTTGGTTTATGAAAATCAATCAACAAGGCGATCATCCATGTTGTGAGTTATAGAAAAACTGAAAACACAAAACAGATTTCTCTTTACCATCTAGCATACGTCTGTCCAACATTAATTGGTACAAAGATGTGGACTTAATTTCAATTATCACTTAAATCCAGCCAGAAATGATAGGAGGCGCTTCATTTCCCTGGCCTCAGGTTTCAAGTGAGGGCTTAGACTCTCTGCCTACAGCTTCCTCTTGAGAAGATGTCAGATCTACCTAATGGGTGAATTTGGGCAAAGCATACAGTGTGCTTGCTTGGCTCAGGATCTCTTTCAAAAGATGTGTCTGCCCACGGTGACATGAGTTCAGGTTTGCTGTCATCTCTGCAGTAAGCAGCATGCAACTGCGATGGGTGTCAAGCATTTGTTTTCTCCACTTAAAACTCTGTGGGTTAGTGCCTGATCTGGGATAAAATACTGTGGCTGCACATCTGAGCCACATCCTCCCATTAGTTATCATGAGTCTGTGCTAGAGCTAGTGTGTTGATGTCCATCTGACTCCAGTGTTCTGAACTCAGAAGGGAACGAGGAGCACCATTTGCTGCCTATCCACCACAGCCTGAACAAGATGACTGTATAACACTTACAGAAATAGTTTATTCTTCCTTGACTTTCTAATCTTACCACATATTCTTTCTAATCTTACCACATATGCTGATCATCTCATTTTTTTCAGAAACATAAAACCTAAGCAAACAATATGATTAAAAATATCAGCTAGCTGGGCTCTTGCAATCTATGTATTAAAATAATCATTTAATGCATTCTCTTTTAAGCTATTTGGCCGCAGTGCTGTCTAAGAAACCTTAGATTTGCTCTTCTATGATTTGTTAGGACATGAAATAGCCAGGTAAATACAACAAGGTTGAGGCTCATTCCATGTGGGCCTGTGCTTTTCTGTGCATTAAGGAGACCATAAAAACATCAAAACTATAAGCAAATGTGGACCGATTAAAAATTTTAAAAACAACAATATACACAAAGAAAACTATTTATTTTTGTTCAAACAAATGCTTTCTGGATTTTGTAATTTTTTAAGAGATAGAATCTTGCTATGTTGCCCAGTCTGGAGTGCTGCAGTGCTCTAGCTACTCACAGGAATAATCATTGCGCACTGCAGCTTTGAACTCCTGAGCTCAAGTGATCTTTCTGCCTCAGCCTTAGGAGTAGCTGGGACTACAGGTGTGTGCCACTGTGCCCAGCTTTTGTAATTTTCCCCCAGTTGAAAAAATGGACAAATGTTAGACAAATACCTTAATCTGGGTCAAGCATAGCTGAACTACGTTTTTGTTTTTTTTTTTTTCCTTACCGACTCTATAGTTGATATAGCTTGTCATTCTTGGATTCATTTTGAAATCCCCAGAAATAGACTCTTACTCTGAGTGAAACCACATGGTTGAACTAAAAGGTTCCTGTTACATGTCCAGGGGAGATGTCCATGTGCAGCTTTACATGGAATTTGGGGTATTAAGAACAGAATTGATTCTGTTTGGTCACATTTGCTATTGAAGGACTCTAGATATCATTGCCATCTTAGTCACCAATCACTCCAGTTATGGCCAAGTAGAGAGACATAACTTATGTGAGCTTTACTTTAAAAATTCAAATATTTGTTTCATTTAACTATTTCAAAACCCTGTACAACCACATAACAATAGACACATTTTACTAAAATTGGGATTAAAACACTGTAAGTGCAATAGCAATTTTTATACAACTTTTTATAACCAGATGTACTCATGTAAGAAAATCACAAAACTTTTAACTTAAAGAACAGATTAATCAAGTGTTGCAGGTTTATATAACATATAAAAGTATTCACCTTGGATCCTTTTAAATAATAAACATCCATGTGTGGTTAGTGTTTGGACACCAATCATTCACATACGATGAGGGGTAGAAAATCTGAGATGATGCAGAAAAACTTTAAAAGTGATCCCACGCACACTAAACCCTTTAAAAGTGAACCCCAGACAAACTAAAATCAGTTAGTAAGACAAAGCACATCAAAGTATACCTTTGGTTAAAATCTAACTTAATTGCAGTTTTTAAAGAAATTTAAAATGTGTCAGTTTGGTTACGTTTATTGAATAAAGTTAACAAAGGAGTAATCTCTTATGAATGAGAGCTCCAGGGACTTAAAAATAACTGTAAAATTTCTGTCTCCTCTCTTTATTAACACAGATAATTATTACCTTTACTTGACCATACACAAGACAATTAAGTAACTGAGTATTTCACCAAATAACATACAAGAATTAGATCAGACATGTGAACACCAAAGGAAAAAAGATAACTAACCTTCAACAAGTAGCTCTCCATGCTCTCAGGAGCAGACTTCTTTTTTCTTGGAATATGTTTTCTGTTGAGATCTTCACTATCATTAAGATTTCCAGCACAAGGTGGCTCTAGGATGGGCCTTGTACTACAAGCAGCGAATGGAGATCTGGTTAGCTCTTTCTCCACAGTAAGTTGCGCACTGACCTCTGCTATCTTCTCATTAGTTCTATGAAGATTGCAAAAGACAAACGCTTAGTATTTCCTTTTTTCCTAAATGATTCCTAAATGACTTCAATTGTTCTAAAAGTTGCCATAAGAGTAAATAGAATATACCATAAGCCGTGTTTTAACTCTGAAAATGTATTAGAGCATGCCTACTGTATCCAATTATAGTTTTAACATTTTTCTAAAGAAGTACATATGTTTCTAGGGGGATTTCTAACAAACAAGTAGTTCAAACGAGGGAGGGGACAGAAAAGACTATCAATGACGTATCGCTTCACAGTTAACACTTGTTGCCTGTCTGGAATGACTCTACTTACAAGATTCTTAAGATGCCATTAGAATTACTTGTATTCCAAGGGTAACTATGTGAAATGATGAAGATATTAATTAGCTTGACAAAATAACCATTTCATTGCATATAAATATATCAAAACATCACATTGTATTCCTTAAATATATACAATTAAAAAACTAAAAGTAAAAATACAAGCTAGAAATACTTGTATTTAGTAAAACAGAGATTTTCTAAAAAACTATCTCTCAAAGACATTTTCAAACAATTGTTTTCACCGCCCTTGTACTTTTCACCCATTATCTGGAAAAAAATTGAGCATTTGTCACTGAGGAATCATTCAGGGCGACTTTTCCTAGGGGAGAATAAGACTGCTGAAATCAAAGAGAACTAAAGCAGCATCGAGGACAATCAGCTCCTAACACTGTGGCCCATGCACCAGAGGTGGGGCCTGCCTTTTCTGTCTTCCACATACCCGCTCAGGCTGACCAAGGTGTTATGATCACAGTCAAGCAAAGTGAATTTACTGAGTGCCAGAATGTGCCCAGAGTAGTCGTACTTGACCCTTTCGGTTTTCAGCTGTCATCTTCCAAAAATTAAATTCATTAATATTTCAAATAAAGGGAATACGGACAAACAAGTTTTATAATGGCATCACTGTCTAAATTATGAAGCTTCACAAATACTTAGCTGAAACCCTAATAGATCAGGTTAACTATATAAGAATATTAAGGGGTGGGGGAAGTCACGTAAAACCAAAAGCTGGAGAGACATGAACTGTCCTGGACTAAGATGTTAAAGGTTATGTTCATTTACTATTTTCAATTTTACTTAAAGGTTAAGCTTATTTACTATTTATAATTTACAATTTTCCAAAATTGTATAATCTAGTAAGCTTTCACTTCCCACAAATCTCCTGAATCTGTTTCACTAAAAGTTATGCTTTTGAAGGCAAATTAATGAGCTTAACTTATTTTCTATGATTCTGTGTACTGACTTACCTATTCAGTTCATTTGACAAGGATTCTCTAACTTTTACTTCTTCTAGGTAGAGTTCCTTATATCTTTCCAATTCGGTTTTATTAAAGTCGGCTGACGAAGTGTTTATTCTGGAGATTTCAGATTCCAGATTTTTGATTGTGAGTTCCATCTGAGTTTTTACTGAAGTAGTATTATCCTCCCTTAACTGTGCTAACTGTTCTTGAGATACTGCTGCTTGTTTCTAAAATAAATTAAAAGGGAACATTTTAAAAGTAATTATAACCTGAATAATTACTGTGTATTTGTTTCCTTTTGTTCAGAGTCAGTGATTCTGAGAACAATTTTAAGTATGTGATTCAGAGAACAATTTTAAGAACAATGTGAAGAAAGAAAGAAGCTCAAGCTTAACATATTATCAGTACCAACTGCATTAATAATTGAATCTGAATTGTAGAACAATTCTGCAAAGAATGACAGAATCAAGTTTACATTTTAAAAGTGGAACAATGTAACTTAAAAGCAGTTCAACAGTATGGTATAATTTCTAAATCACAATTTTTTTTTTTTACTTTTTCTATTAGTCTTGTATTATGCCAACTGGCTTTAGTAATCAAATGATTCTCTAGTGATAATTATTATTATGGAAGATCAATTTAGTTATAAGAATAAGAATGAAGGAAACGAAAATATTTAAATGGAGAAACAAATACCACCTTCCTTCTAGAAGTCTACCAAACAAATTGCTGTCAGGAAAGTAGAGAAAACACGTATGATGTATATATCCAAAATAAAATTTGCAGTGAAATGAATGAAAGCACATTACAGATAAGTAAACCAACCTGCAAGGTGAGAATGGCTTCGTTTAATTTTTCTGCTATCTCTTTCTTTGCTTTTTCTTTAATCAACAGTTTATGCTGTTCAGCTTCAACACATTCTAACATATTTCTCTCCATATAACTTTTGAGGTTTACTACTTCTCGTTTCAGCTGCTTCTTATTCTTCTGTAGTGTTTCACATTGCTTTTGTATTGCTTTCATAGAGAATAATGTCTGTTGAAGTTGAAGAACTTCATTCTCTGCATCCAGATGTAGACATCGTGAAGGTGCAGTTTCCTGTGCTTCTATAAGGTCAACCTGCATGAGTAAAACAATATAGTTTTGTAATGAAGAAGGTAGACTGAGAATGGTCTAATATAAAACTAATAATGTTTTAAATAAATTCAGTTGCAATAAAATGTTACCTATACTGTTATAGATTCATAAAATACAGACCCTTGGATTACTCAGAAAATTAAAAACAAAGTTAAAATCACCAGAATTCACAAAAATTTGTCCTTTACTTTCATCATCTTTGCCACACAACATTTGGACTTGATCTTAGACTTCTGCTTTCCTATGATTGTTTCATGGCTGTCCTCCTTAAAATGGCTCTAAGTCACCCCGTTAGCACAAAGTCTCTTATTGCTGTAACCCACTATCATTCTCCATAACTTGCAATGAAGTTTTAAGGGCATCATATTGAATTATTTGGCCCTGAGTCAATAAATGGCTCCCATAATAAGACTCTGAAAATAAGACTCTAATGAATAAATCTTGAAAAAAAAAATGGATTCCAATACCATAAGCCTTTTGCTGAACTGCAAATGTCTTACGCTAATTTGAGTTACATTTCAAAGAGTAATGATACTTGGAATTAAGAAGCAATCACGGCCGGGCGCGGTGGCTCACGCCTGTAATCCCAGCACTTTGGGAGGCCGAGGCGGGCGGATCACAAGGTCAGGAGATCGAGACCATGGTGAAACCCCGTCTCTACTAAAAATACAAAAAATGAGCCGGGCGCAGTGGCGGGCGCCTGTAGTTCCAGCTACTCGGGAGGCTGAGGCAGGAGAATGGCGTGAACCCAGGAGGCGGAGCTTGCAGTGAGCCAGGATCGCGCCACTGCACTCCAGCTTGGGCGACAGAGCGAGACTCCGTCTCAAAAAAAAAAAAAAAAAAAAAGAAGCAATCACATCTCCTAGTATAAAAGTTCAATGGCATGATCCATACCATTTTTCTGAAGAAAAGTAGTATAGTCTTGTAATTCATTGTTACTTTACACAAAATAAGGGAGCACATCAAACAATGACAACAAAAAATTGCACTGAAATTTCAGTGGTGCTGAGTTGGACAGAACTGCTTTCCTTTAGAGGAAATAATTATGATTGTTTTTTATTTTATAAAGGTAAATGAAGCAGTGGTTTTAAAACATCTACAAATTGCTTGCCACTTCTCCCATGATATTCCCTCTCCTGAATACAAGCTGGCATTGACAACCAGCTTCTTGTGAACATAATGTGGCAGAACTGCTGGGTGACTTCTAAGGTGGGGTTACAAAAAGTCATACAGCTTCTACTTGACTCTTTCTCTCTAGGGACACTTGTCCTTAAAATGCAGCCAACATGCTGTGAGAAAGCCCAAACCACACCGTGAATCCTCATGTAGGTAGGTGTTCGAGCTGACTTCTCTAACTAACGTCCCAGCCAAAAGCCAGCTTCAAATGCTGCACAGGTGAATGAACAAGGCTTTAGACGATTCTAGTTTTCAGCTTTAAGTTGCCTCAGCTGATGCCAAGTAAAGAAAAAGTGAGCTGGCCCCACTGAGCCTTGCCTAAAACTGCAGATTGTGAACAAAATAGATGTTGTTTTGAAACACTGCATTTTGTTATATACCAAAAAATAACTAATACAGATATTGACACTACATATGGAATGCATAACAAAACAACAAAAACTACTAAAACATGTTGGATTATCATTGGACCAGGAGTTAAGTGGAAGATGAAAGGACCTACAGAAGAATAAGCATGAAAACAAGAAGAGTCTTAAAGAGACTGTTTGTGGAAGCCCAATGGTCCTCAAAGAAGATGGTAGGAAGGGTTTCATGGATAGTGAAGAAAATGATACTGGAACTTGAAGGAAATTGCACTGTTACTACACAGCCGCTGAAAGTAAAACCAATGCAAGAGATAAGCTAAAGAAAGACTACTACATACAAAGGAACCAGGACTTTCTGGGTTCAAGTATCTGTTTCCTTTTTATAGCCTCTCCACATGTCAGATTCCCAAATATAGACAGTCCTTGACTTAGCATGGTTCGACTCACCATTTTCTGACTTTTTCTAATAGTGTGAAAATGATATGTGTTGAGTAACAAAATGGTATGTGTAAGCCTCTTGGCTTACAGGGGTGGTTACATCAGGATAAAGTCACTGTAAATGGAAATTATTATAAATGGAAAACCCACCCACAACTTCTGATATTTGCAATTTATGATGGCCCATAAATTGAAAATATCAGTCATAACAAATGCAAACATCATCCAGACATAACCCCATCCTAACTTGAGGGGCACCTGTATTGCTGAGATAAATGGCCTCTGGGATAAGATCAAATCCAGGGTGCTGCCAGGAGAACACAGTCTGAAGGTGAAGCCAAGATTGTCAGTGTAAGACCTTTTCTTAAGACCTCAGAAAGATTTAAGGTGGTGCCTCAAATTCCCTTAAAGATCTTAAGGGTATATGCATCTTAAGGCACTGTCCTACTACAGCTTCACAGGAAGCACAAGGTGAAGTGCTTATCTCAAAGAGATCTGGACAAGAGGTTTTTCCATGACAAGAACCCAAGTAAAATTCACAAGAGACTCTAAGTATTTAAGAGAATCGTAGTAACAATAACACTGCTTGCTAGCTTGGATTAAAAGACACCAAGACAGTAAAAATGAAGAGGCCTTAGGACCTAAGAAGTTCTATAGGGAGAAAGCTGGCTGAGGAAACTACTTAGCTGAAAACACAGGTCATTGCTTATGAAAAGGATACAAAAAGGATACAACAAAGAACCAAGAAGGCAGCACAAACAACCACAGAGGATGGTTCCCACGAAGTCCAAATCAAAGAAGTGGAAGTACACATCAGGCTGTATTTCAGAACTGCTATGGTCTAGGATTTCGTTTGTGACTCCCATTTTCTCTCTGTTCAATAGGAGGGTCTCTAGCAGTTTAGGAGAATGCTGGGTGGGTGAGTTGTAGATAACTTGTCCCTTTAGTTAAGTCTTTGTGTTGACAAGATATGCACTCAAGGCGTTATACCACAGAAACCACAACCCAGGGTGAATCCCTACTGGACGTGATAAAGATGGTAGGATCTTGCACTTCAAGCCTGAGCTTGCTGCCATATTAAATGAAACGTGTATATGTGTGGTGGGGAGTTAGGATCTTGCACTTTAAGCCTGAGCCTGCCATACAAAATGAAACCTGTGTATAGGGTGGGAGGTAATAATTACAAATGAGTGTGTTTTTCAAGTGGTAGAAATTTTTAGAATTGTAGTTATAGGGCTAATTGTGCAGGTTTTAAAACATGTCTATACATTCCTTAATATGCACAGCATAGACAAAGATATCATCGAGATGGCTGACTGGGAATATCCAGCACTCATCTCTTTGAAAAAGAAAAACCAAACCAGCAAGTAGGTAACCACACCTTGAGGAAAGCATCAAAGACAGCATACTGGAATTCAGCAGGAAATTGATAGGGATCCTCTGATGACAGAAGGAAAGGGAACTGAGGTAGCCAGTCCAGCCAGGATCATCTCAAAGCCAGGACAGATTCCCCCAAATCCCTAGCCCCACAGCCCCCTATACCTGTGGTAATAGGTAGTCACCTAATAGCCCACCAGGGAAACTGTTCTAGGTCAAAGGGATCCTAAGTGTGTGCTCTCCAGAGCCTGGAAGCCACCTGACTGATACCACTGCCACCACCAGCAGCCCTGTCCCCTTCAGTGGCAGTACTATGCATACCTGTGCATACGTTTAGGAGGCCGGAGAACTGGCCCACTCAAGTGTACCATGAAGGAGCCTGAGAACAAGCCTGCCAAACCCACCAGGGGCAGTGCCCATGTGAGCCATATGAGAGCCTGAAGACAAGGCTACTTTGCTTGTTTCTGCTGTTGTTGCTTCAGTGCTCACATACACTGTCCAGGGCCCTGAGGAGCAGCCCACCCCAACCAGGTCTGTGTGCATTTACCCAGGCGCCATCTACCACTAACACCAAGGACAGTCCTACTGCCCCACCGGCACCTGCACAAGGCATCCAGGAGCATAAAGACAGGGCTGCCTCACCAGCCACTGACAAAGTCTCTTGCACATGCCTTCAGTGAACCTGTGGACAAACCTGCTCCACACACTGCCATAGGTACCCACCCAAATATTCCTCACAGGCGCCTAGAGAAATGCCCATGCAGCCCGCTTTCACCACTACCAGTGCCCATGCATGCTACCAAGGGATCCGAGGTCCGACCCCCAGCTGCTACTGTCATCTCCAGTGCCACAAGTGTCATCAAGGTCCTTTGGGCTGGCCTGCTACTGCCACCTCTGATCCCAGCACACACCACCTGGAGGCCCAAGGGCCAGCCCACTCAGGTACCCTACTGCCACCAAAAACTGGCAAGCCTGGCCTGGTGCTGCCAGTCTAGTACTTGTATATGCCATCAATGTGCCTGAGGACTGGCCTGCTGTCCTCCCCATCACCATCAAGGCCTCACCACAGCATCCCCTACTACTAACAATTACACCGTAAGCCACTGAGGAACTTACCTGACACTGATGTTGATTACAGCAGAAGAAAACATAAGTATATGGAGATTACACCAATGCACCTCCCCCATCATCAATGCCAAAGCACCATATTCAACCAACAACATAGATAAATCTACAGAAAAAAGTCGACACCTAAAACTACACGAAGTGACTGTTACACCAGCTGCACAGCTATCAACATAAAGGACACAAGAAATACGAAAAATCAAAGAAACATGACACTTCCAAAGGAATACAGTAATTCTCCAGTAACAAATCCCAAAGAAAACAAAACCTATAAAATTCAAAATAATGATCTTAAGGGAACATAGTGAGATATACAATAATGCAAAGGAATCAGGAAAGATTCCTGATAGGAAAGATAGATAATACAAAGGAATCAGGAAAACAATTTATGATCTAAATAAGAAATTCAACAATGAAAAAGACAGCATTCAAAGGAACCAAACAGAAATCCTGGAACTGAGAATTTAGTACATAAAATAAAAACAACTGAAAATGTTGGCA